ATCCATTTACTTTCTTTATTTAAAGATAATCTGACAATATTTTAAAATAATATGTCAGTCATTCAGACACAAACAGAATAGAGTCTAAAAGAGTTCTCAGGTTAAGAAACTCTGCTGCATGGACTTTACTAAATGCTATTTGAGCTCCCGCGGGCCACACAAAAGGACTTGGCGGGCCGCATTTGGCCCCCGGGCCTTGAGTTTGACACCTATGACCTAGACCCTAGGTGTGAAGTATTTGGTAGGTCTGAAGTAAACTTTAATCTTTGGGTACTGTACAATTTCACTGTTGAGGCCTGAAAGAACCGACAAAGAGGAGACGTCGGCGGAGACGGACGAGGACAAGGAAGAGGACGAAGAAAAAAAAAAAAAAAGGATGTAACCAGCTGGTCGGTGTCAGTAACAGTTATTCATGTGTCAAATGAAGTCCCTGTGTGTGTGTGTTTACATTAGTCCCACTTAGTCTTGTTTGTGTGTATGTGTGTGTAAGAATGAGACAGAGAAGTGTTTTTACACTTTAACAAAAACACATGTCAGCCATCAACACACACACACACACACACACAGCGGCTCCCTGTGATAACAGCTGTCAGTGTGTGTGCGTGTGTGTGTGTAATAAGTAACGTACACCACCGTGTTCAGGTGTGGCCTCTCGTTCACTACATCCCGTCTCGTCATAACAAACGTCACTCTCACAGGTTTTTCCTTCCTATGTTTTATCGTCGATGCGGGATCGCGGGCTGACAGGGGGCAGCAGAGTTCACTCTGCCTTTAAACAGAGCTGTTAAAACGTTCTGTCACTGTCAGCTCATCTCCAGCACGAGATTAAAAACCTGCGCTGACAAAAAGAAACTGCTCTGCTCCACTGTACGATGTTCATCAATCTGGGTTTTTTTTGTTAATTTTCCCGATGGTTCGTGTCAACATGATGCGGAAAGTTTTTTACGATTTCACAAATTAGTGCGATGGCCATTTAAATATCACAAAAAAATTTGGTTTAAAAAAACCTCAATATATCGCCATTTCTATAGTATTGCAATATATCGCAATATATATAGCTGCCCTTGTGTCGTGATACATATCGTATCACGAGATTCTAGCTAATACACACTCCTAATAAGGTATGTACCGTACACATGTATACATGTACTCATGTATAAGAGTTGTACCTGTTTAAAGCGGGCCAGTTCTTTCAGGGCTCGTCCCCACTGCTGCTTGTAGTGGAGCTTGGACTTGGAGGTGGACTCCAGCTTCCTCTCCAGTTCCACTTTAACAAACACGACAACATTTTTACTTACAGTTATCGGATAACAGGTTTTTATACTCACAAAATGTGTTAACAGTTCAATCAAATATACCGTATTTTCCAGACTATAAGTCACTCCGGAGTATAAGTCGCACTAGCCTAGCTAGAGTGCCCTCTAGCGGGCGTCAGTGGGAAAATCAGAAACGTGAAATTATATATTTTAATATATAGGTCGCTAATCCAGACAAAGGATAAAAAAAAATGTGCGACTTATAGTCCAGAAAATACTTGTAGTACTCAGCAGTACCACTCAACATCCGTGGTTCACCTTCTCCAGGGTCAGCAGGTTGACCTCTGACTGCAGTCTGAACTCCGGCCTGATGTTCTGCTGTTCCCTGTAGACCTGGAACTCCTTCTCCAGCTGTTTGTACCGCGACTCCCCGTCTAAAATCTGCGCCACGACAAACCAATCACGTCGTCAAAATGTTTGACAACGTTTTTTAAAAGTCACCATCGACGATCCTCCGCCGCCCCCGGGAGGGGGGTTGAGGTGGGCTTCGTACCTGCTGCAGCAGTCGGCTCCTCTCCTCCTCCATCAGTCGAACTTTTTCTCTCTCCAGCGCCACGCGCAGGTCACACTCCTGCTGCATCCTGCTGCATCCTGCTGCATCCTGCTGCATCCTGCTGCATCCTGCTGCATCCTGCTGCATCCTGCTGCATCCTGCTGCATCCTGCTGCATCCTGCTGCATCCTGCTGCATCCTGCTGCATCCTGCTGCATCCTGCTGCATCCTGCTGCATCCTGCTGCATCCTGCTGCATCCTGCTGCATCCTGCTGCATCCTGCTGCATCCTGCTGCATCCTGCTGCATCCCGCTGCAGCCTGCGGCCGCCCGCCCTCCA